TCTCCTTGTGTTCTGATGCAGTCAGCTTCTGTCATACTAAAGAACTTGACGAGTAGAATATATGTGAAAATGGGTTCAAGGTCAGTGAGCACAACCAGAATGAATACATAAGATGTACCAGATTATAAGATGTACTGTCGATTTTTCAGAAAATGAAGTGATTTTAAGTGCGTCTTATAGTACAAAAAATATGTTACTCAAGTTTTAAACAATGAAAAACAGTTATCAGTGAAAATTGCTTAGGCAAGGTGTTGCTGTTGTAAAAGTGAGGAGCAGAGGTGCACAGAGACTTGATGCAAGGAGAAGAAGTGTGGAGTGTGGGGTTCATGGAGATGTATGTATATGTATATTACAGACCTACATGCAGATCGTGATAAGGCGACCCCCAAAAAAATGTCTTGTGACCCCCCGACATCCCTTTAACAACTATTCTAAAATATCTTGTCATGTGATGTGAGAGAAAATCCATAGTAACTCTTTCAGGCTGTTAACTCTCTCAGACTCTTTGTGTTCACCTGCGTGACACAAAGACACAGCCACGTGTGAGCAGGAGGTCCCTCTGCAAACTCCACTCCACTCTGTGCCTTTGTACTGCTCAAAGTGCTCAGCCCGGGGAGGAGGAGATGGAATAGGAGGGGGGGAGGAGGGGGAGAAGGCGCCAAAGTGCTTGTTTTCCTCTCATTATACCCGTTCTCCGTTTTACCTTGACCTCCCGCTCACCACTTCTTTATTACAGGGCCTGTCTGGGAGCCAAATCAGAACAAAGCCCAAAGTCAGAGCTTCTGCCTGTGAACACGATTCCACGGCTGCACTGCAAAACTGTCTGCACGAGTTACACCGGTTCAAGCCAAAATATACACAAATACACAAAAAATACACAAATATACACAAATATAGACACGACTTTTGACTGATTAAAGGCCCTGTATTACACAAAATGGACTCTTGTCAGCTTACCTCCTCAAAAACAGACCTGCACTTGTGTTTCTTTTCTTTATTATTAGTCTGCATCTCCAAAGCTCAAAACACTGACCACCTTGTGATGTCATGAAATGGTTTTGAAGTTAACAGTTCCTTTTACCTAGTTTGGCAGAGAGAGCAGCCTAAATCTGCAGAATCTGTGTCTTAAAGGGTCCATTTTACTGTATGTTTTAATCTCCGTTCTAATGTCATTTCCTCATCACAAACAGACCTGGAGTTGTGTTTAGTTTCACACAAACCTGCAGTCTGAAGTTGCTCCGAAGTACAGGTCTCACCAGCCATGATGAAGAATAATAAAAAAAAATAATAATAATTAAAAAAAAAAATATAATATATATATATATATATATATATATATATATATATATATAATATATATATATATATATATATATATATATATATATATATAGTTTTTTATATAGTTTGGTGAGATTTGTACTCCACCAGAGCGAATTCAGACTGCAGCCTGAAGTGACCCAAATCTGATTTTTTCTCCCCTAATGACAGTCTGAATGACACAGATCTGATATTTTCCAAATGTGACCCAGGACACTTGGATATGTGCTCCTAAAACCCAAACATATCTGACTTTTTGACATGTGACTTCAGTCTGAACGGTCAGGTCACATTCATCCACCTACAGTCTCGTCAATGGAGGGAAAGTGAGGTTAGTGAGTTCATTCAGATTTGGGGGCATCGCTGTATTCAGGACAAATTGGAGGGGCGGCTTTTGAAATGATTGCCAAAGAAATGTCTGAAAGCAGCTATAGGCAGACCTGACTCTAATGTCAAGGAAAAATAAAGATTCTGTGAGCGAAATACAAGGAGTCTAAAGACTCAAACAAATGAATGGACAGATTACATGGACATGTGACTTGTCCATTTTACCAACAACTGGACTGGATTTTGGGAGAAAAGTGCAGCATTTAGCCAACTTCTGTAAACACTGAGCACACTCGCTGTGTGTGACGTCGTCATGTCCTCCAGTGCTCATGCTGAACACTTTTGGGGTGTTTAAAGTTCACACTGGAGATCACATAGAAGTCACTTTTAACTGGAAATGTGAAAAAAATCGGATTTCACAAAAAATACAAATTGAGCTTTAAGCCCTGCAGTCTGAACAGTCTTATAGTCAGTATTTATTTCACCTTAATTTGTGTATCTTATGAAATACACCACACATACAGATCAATATTTATCATTTTGTTTATTGCAAACCACAAACCTGACCTTAAACAGCTCGATCCACCGACTTCCTGTTCAAAACTGATTCATTTTTATTTTTGAAAATATCTTTTTGACGTTTGCTAAATGTATTTACAGACTGAATGTTTCAAATAACCCCGAGCAGAGGGAGAGGAAAGTGAAGGTGAAAAGGTGAAAACAGATATTTCCTGAACACTCAAGTCTCAAAAACAAAAACATACAAGAATATTCAAACATGACTCACTGGATAAGAGTCTCAGCTTCCTGTTTTATTCACCACTCTAAAGACTTTTCTCATTCAAATGATACTTCTGTTTGTTTTATGCAACATTTTCCATCATTCTGTTACGCAGAGACAAGCTCATGAGGAGTGATGCTATAACCAGCATCAGTCGATATATCGCTACACAAAAATATTGCCATAAACAATAAAACTGAAATTACACAAAACAGGAGAATCCCAGTAACAGACAAAAGGGTCACTCCATATGAAATCAGTCGCCCTCCCCTATGAGCCCTCTCAGATCTGGCAGAATTTTTTATTTTTTATTTTATTTTATTTTAATTCTAAAATCTCCAGATGAAAGAATGTCACATTTTAGCTCAATCCCTTGAGTCGTTCCTGAGTTATGGCCTGTTGAAATTTTGGGGCCATGCTCACTTTTGCTGAAGCCTTAAAGGTTGTATGGAGGATTTTTTTTGTTTCAAATTGTCATTGAATGTTTAAAATACCATTACAGAGACGCAGCAGCTTTGTAATTATGATGAAAAAGTTAAAAAAAAATGAAAATCCATCAACTGTGGACGTAGTGAGGCCAGATAAACATCAGCCAATAGAAAACGAGGCTCCCTCTTTTTCTATTGGCTGTTTATAAACATGTTTGACAGACCAGAACTTCATAAAAATAGAGCTAGGAAGCTTATTTGTATTATTGTAGATTCTTGGTCATAGAATGTGTTGTCAAATATTGTGTATCTTTATTAAGGGGGGCGCTGTGGGCCCCCAAAATCTCACATTTGGTTGCCACACTTTTTTTTTTTTCAGTTGTTGAGGTCCAAGATCTATTTCCTCCAAGCAGATATTTACAAACTAACTGCTGAACCTGAATATTTGAGATAATGATCATTTCTGACAACAATCTCACACTTTAAACTGTACTTTAAACTAATCAGAATATGCCAAAATTTCTCTGGTAAAAATTTGATCAACATCTAACTGTGCCACATGGGGAACTGAGGCTCCAAAGAAGGGGCCAAAAAGATCACATTTGGTCTGTGACCAGATTTGGGGCTCTACACCATCCACATGAAAGCTCAGAAAAGTGTGAGATTGTTGTCAGAAATGATCATTCTCTCAAATATTCAGGTTCAACAGTTAGTTTGTAAATATCTGCTTGGAGGAAATAGATCTTCGACCTCAACAACTGAAAAAAAACAAAAAAAAAACAAAACAATTGAGTGGCAACCAAATGTGAGATTTTGGGGGCCCACAGCGCCCCCCTTAATAAAGATACACAATATTTGACAAGACATTCAGAATCTACAATAATACAAATGTTCATCTTCCTAGCTCTATTTTTGATGAAGTTCTGGTCTCTCAAACATGTTTATAAATTAAGGCTTCAGAAAAAGTGAACATGACCCCAAAATTTGAACGAGCCATAACTCAGGAACGATTCAAGTGATTGAGCTAAAATTTGAGATTCTTTCATTTGGTCATTTTAGAATTAAAAAAAAAAAAAATTTCAGTCAAATCTGAGATGGCTCATTGGGGAGATTCCTTGAAAACAGCTGATTCCATATGACCTGACCCAAAATCAATCTTACTATATTATAAAAATAATAACAGAAATCTCCTCATGATAAAGAAATTATACTCATGAGAAATATCAAACCTACAAATGTATAGTTCCATCTTTTCTTATGAATGATGAGTTGATCCAGTGATTATGTGACAGGTGCAGGTACAAGCTCCTTACACATGTTCCTTTTGTAAAATCCCAAATACTAGATGTGCAGACAGTATTTTACAGTTCTGAGGTTCCTTGTGTGTTAGAGTGTGAGAGTTCAGGACCAGACCTGTGCACCACGCTGTGTCTTTACGTAACAACCTGATTATACCCCCCCTCGTCTCGTAATTACACAGAGCGATGTTACACAAACACACTGGAAAGAGATGTTTTTCTTTTGTTTTTACCCAGGACAAACACTCTCTGACTCTTACAGTTTTAAAAAGTTACTACAAACACAGCTGAACTCGTGTCTCCAGAAAGTTCACATGCAGACAGAGGACGTTCTCATGGTCAGTACATGGACAGAGCAGGTCTCAAGAGACAAACACAGAGACAGACACAGAGACCACAGAGACACAGAGACAAACACAGAGACAGACACAGAGACAAACACAGAGACAGACAGACAGAGACAGAGAGACAGACAGACACAGAGACAGACAGACACAGAGAGACAGACACAGAGACAGACACAGAGACAGACACAGAGACAAAGACAGAGACACAGAGACAGACATAGAAACAGAGAGACACAGGGACAGACACAGACAGAGACACAGACACAGAGACACAGACAGACAGACACAGACAGACACAGACAGACACAGAGACAGACACAGAGACAGAGACACAAAGACAGACGCAGAGACAGAGAGACAGACACAGAGACAGAGAGACAGACACAGAGACAGACACAGAGAGACAGACACAGGGACAGACACACAGAGACAGACATAGAGACAGAGGCACAGAGTCATACACAGACTTGTGACATGTTGTTTTGTTGTGTGCCCACAGCGTGTGAGTGCAACAGCCATGCCAGTGTGTGCCACACGGGCACAGGGAAGTGTCACTGCACCACCAAGGGCATCAAGGGAGACCAGTGCCAGCTGTGAGTGTCCTACACACACACACACACACACACACACACACACATGCGCACACACACAGACACACATGGATATACACACACGTACACACATATATGCACAGACACACACACACAGAGACACACACGCACAGACACACATGCACAGACACACACACACACAGACACACGTGCACAGACACAGACACGCAGACACACGTGCACAGACACACACACAGACACACACACGCACAGACACACACACACACACACACATGTCTCCATACACTGTTGGGTCTTCCATTCAGTTCCTGCTCTTTCATGGACAAGACATGTTTTGCTCAAATGCAAAAAAATTATGAATGTTTCACAACTTTCAAAAGGTAAAGCAGCATTTTCACATCTCAGCACTTCAAACAACAACTAGCATGCTAACAGTGCACCAGAACAACATGTATCCAATAGATCAGCTCATGCAGTCATCTTCCTTTGTACAAGCCCCGCCCTCTTCCCTCCACCATCTTCACATTTCAAATACACATAGATTTGTGAAGTTTGCTCGTCACAGCTCCAGATGTCGTGGAACAATCATCAGTGCGATTGCTTCTTGTTGACCCCAGTAAGGTTAAGTACACTTCAGATTAGAACTGCGCTAAATAATAGTCACATGTGCTGGCAGTCATGGAAACTGTGGTGCCCTGACTCCACGCTGACCCCTGTGTGACCCCTGTTAGACCTCTGGATGACCCCTGGTGGAACTGGCAGTCAGACTCTCATAATCCTGGGTTCACTTGGACCAAAGCCTGACTGGGAGCACATGTTGTCTGTCCTGTTTAATCAGCGTCATCAGAGCTTAACTGTGCATAAACTGTCTAACTATGTCACTCGGGCATAAGGCCACACAGTGAAATATGAAAGGAGACACATCATGGTATTTTGTAATAAGAATTTAGTAATAAACTATAAATAACAAAAAAAAAACTGACTAAAAAAACGCATCTCCAACCTGTAGCTCAGGAGCAACCAACAGCCTACCACCCCCTTCCAAATAGCTCGCCAAGGGACTTCTGAATTACACATATCGTCCTGAATATCTCAAATTTGATGAATTAAATGCTTATTATTATTGTAAATCTATCATTTTGATGACTGACTTTGTGCACTCATAAATAAATAATGGTTCATGTTTTATGTTTTATCTAACTGTACCACATCTAAGCCATGGCTCTTATGTATAGTTTATTTTCTGAGACCATTAAAATTAGTAGTTCTCTGGAATTATCATTTTGTAAAGGTAGCTCACCCGGGAAAAAAGGTTGGAGACCCCTGGACTAAAATATATACAGAAAATAACCTAAACTAAGAAACAGAACAACAGAATTAAACACATTTTGTGCCACAAAACGGGTCACGCAGGCTTACACAAAAACAAGTGGTTAACTAAGGGACACACACAGACTAAAACACAAGTTCCCCAAATTAAACCACATAAGCCCACAAACAGAATCGAGTGACTAGACACACACGAACACAAACACAAAATGGCAGACTGGTCACTAAGGCCAGCTGCCCCAAACAGATGCTGCAATCTCCTTAAATAGGTGGCGGTGGGTGCAGGTGAGGTGGGCGTAGACATGAACGACCAATCACGGGCCAGAGCTCCCACAGCAGGAAACAGGACAGCTCAGCAAAATCATTTAAAACACACAAAACAAATTACAACTGAAGATCTGGGGCCGTAACAATACACAGTGTGCAAACATATAGAAATCTTAATGTACAGTGTGATAGTGATAGTGATTTTACTCTCTTTTTTATTTATTTATTTATTTTGTGATAGTGCTACAGTGTTGATGCTTGTTTAGAGGAAGGTAATTTGTTTATTCACAATATTCATTAACTTTTGATTTGACATAGAGTATATAGTAGCACTACATAAAGCACGTAAACCCAACTTGTGTGTGTACAATTGTGAACCTAAATCAAAATGTATTTAAAGTTTCTGTAATAAGACCACAGAGTGTGACAAACCTAGGACTGAAGTGGATTAAGTGTCTTGCCCAAGGACACAACAACAGCATTCATCTGTGGGCACTGAAATCACACAGACCTGTGGGTCATTGGATGTGACCACGCAGCCAATGTCAAGAGTGGGATTCGAAGCATCAACCTTCAGATCAGTGAACAAACGCTCTTATCAACTGAGCTCCTGCCGGTCCACCACATCTCTCACTTCTGTTACCTGAGTTTTGAGAGTCTGGTGCTTCTGTTGCTTCTGCAGAAATCTGTTGTTTCTCAGTCCTCTGTGTTCTTTGTCCTTATTTACTCTTCCTCCGGAACAGACCAGGCATCTCTCTGACTGGTTAATCCACCTGTCAATCACACGTATCTGAAATCAAAGAGACGGGACAGACTTTAGACTTTTATTGTCCCCAAGGGGAAATTCATTTCCATGTACACAGAGCTCGTTTGGTAGCCTGATTCATCAGCCGGATTCACTTCATAGAAACCGTCTGACCTCGCAGTGTTAGATTTCGTTCACTCAACAGTAGGGGGGTACTTCTTTTCATTTAACCAGTTGCTGCTACTGGGTCATGACTTATGTAATGCGCCGCTAACGGGGCTAAATGGTTTATTAAGCTTTTCCCAAATCCTGTAGGAAGAAGGACAATAACGTCTTTCCTCCTGATTAAATTCACCAAACATTCTCTTTGTTCTGGCTTTAAATCCTCGATCTCAGAAATCATTGCTAACACAGAATGTCTGGCTCTTCGCTGATTGGCTGATGCCCGAACTTGCACTTCCGGGGTTTTTGCAAACCATCTAATGTATTCTGACTTAGTTGCTGGAGAGAAATGAAATTGAGCAGGGGCACTAGGTGGCACCAGGCTGGCTATTCGTTTGGCACCTACAACAAAAACACAACACACAGACACATTACAGTAGACATTACAACACACTCAGCGGGGCCTGGTGTGATGTGATGGCCGAGGGCATTGAGCTTCTGCCAAAGCGGGTCTTCCTGCACCAGGATATGCTTCTAGACTCACTGGTGTTTGTAAAGTTTTGTCAAAGTGTGTGTGGAGTGTGTGCTTCTGTCTGGACAGGCACTGACCTTATGCAGAGTTATCACAAAAGGTCAAAGCAAAGACTATTGTTTTCAGAGTTAGTTCTGGACTAACGTAGTTAAATGCACACAGAATAAAACTGTGAAATAAAACCACATTTCGAAAGCCTCCACTGTAACAACGCTATTGTCTTTAACCACATTTACATTATACTTACACATTGTTCTTTCTTATACAACACAAAATACATATGGGAAGGATCCAGAAGCATAATACTCTCCCCCTAATGACCCATTGTTTAAAGCACAATAGTGCCAGGGCTGTGTAACCTCTCATATGAGCTTAAAGACCTCTCAGCACTCTGCCCACATAATGGAGGCACTTATAAATATGAATGTGGATGTGGTCAGGTCTAATCACACCCTAGGTCTAATCACACCTTTGTTTGGGCACACTGGTCTGATTGTGCGGCTGGTACAATGCCAGCGTAATGACAGCGTTCTGATTGGAACATATGAGGAAGACTGTCCACATGTCCACAGAGGACGGCAGGCTGAGGACATGTGTGAGAAGGACAGTGTGAGGACACGGACGGTCATGTGTGGTGTATTTAACAGAGTGATAAGGAATAATGGTGTCTCCAGGGACACAAAGTCACATTGGAAAACAAAAGTGAGTGGGCTGAAAGAGGAGAGGAGAAGAGTTATTGTGCTTCTGAAGGAGATTTACTAGGCTTGAATGTTACTTTTAAAGGCCACTTTTTATTACACTTAAAGAGGGACTATTTTACTCCTGTGGGACATTAACTGCTAACACATCACATATTTAGATCATCCTGTTACATTTTAGTGTTTTGAGAATCCTATATTCACTAAAAGCAGCGTATTAACATGTTTTGTTTCACAAATTTAAATTTTGACATACTGTTCTCTTTGCTCTCTGTCATGTTCAAACCCAAAATAGTTTTTACTGATAACAATTCTAAAGCTCATTTCATCTTGTTTACAAAAACAAAACTAAAACATTGGACATGATACTATAACTGTATATCTTATAATTTGGCACACACACACACACACACACACACACACACACACACACACACATACACATACAGACCGACCGATTGATTGATTCCAGTTTGGGGGTTACAGCTCCGATCACCACAGGCACCACTGATGCCTTCACTTTCCAGGCCTTCTCCAGCTCCTCTTTCAGCCTCTGGTATTTTTCTAGTTCCTCGTGTTCCACCACTATGTCTGGTTGGTCCATCACCATCTTGTCAGTCTGTATCTGAAGTTCCACAGGATCTTGGCTCAGTCATTCTCCACAACCTTTGGAGGTGTTTCCCACCTTGATCCTTGAGTCTCCAGCCTGTACTCTGCACAGATGTTTCTGTACACTCTGCCCGCTACTTGGTTATGTCGCTCCATGTTTGTTTCCCTGCAGCGTCTTACACCTGCAGTTCTGTGCTGGACTGTCTCAGGAGCCTCTTTGCACAGTCTACACCGTGGGTCTTGTCTGGTGTAGTAGATCTGGGCTTCTATTGCTCGAGTGCCCAGGTCCTGCTCCTGTGCACCAGGATCACTGCCTCTGTGTGTCCTTCAGACCAGCCCTCTCAAGACATTAGGAGGATTTCTTGATATCAGTCACTTCAGTTATGTTCCGGTGGTTCGCCCCATGTAGGGGTTTGTCCTGCCATGATGGTCCCTCCAACACCTCTTCCTCTGGACCCCACTGTCTGAGACCTTCTCTGAGCACCTCATCTGTTGGGGCCTTGTTCTTGATGCGTTCTTCCTCTGTGTGGACTACCTTCCCTCTCTTTGTCACCATCCTGCTACATTTCTCAAGCCCGAATGATATTCCAATGTCTGTGCTGTAGATCCTGGTGGTGTGGATCAGTGAGTCGCTGTCTCGCTCTTAGCGTACAGCTGATGTCATCCATGTAGAGGAGGT